TACTGGTGATGGTGAAGCTGAGGAGAGAAGCCCCAAGTAATAAACGCCCGTTTCAAAGAACCGACCTGTGTCTGTGTTGTCGTGAAGAGAGCTACATTAAGTTAACATGTTCTTTATTTCAACTGTTAATTTGTATTGTTTAGAACTTACCTTACCTACCTGCCTTCCAGAAGCAAAAGGAGGAAATGTAGTTTTACTTCCTGCTTTACCTTCTGGGTTCATCTGAGGTCACAGGAAGAGACTAAGTGCAGAAGGGGAAGAACTCTTATAATTTAATAAAGTTGATTTTAGAGGGTTTATGAAGAAGTAGATTTATTGTTGTAATATGTATTGATTACACCACAGAGTTCATGTTTCCAGTAAAGAGTAGTAGTAAAGGTTTGAATATAATCATGTTCATCTTACCTACCTACTGAATGGAATAGTCCAGAGGAGAAATTGTTTGATTAAGTGGACTATTTAAGCAGAAGAACTCAGGTGTTTGAGAGGAAAGGTTCAGTGTAGCTGTGTGCAGTTTGACCTTAATTTCTGTTGATTTAAGTTCAGTTATGTTTATTTGAACTGAGTTAATTATAGAGTTGAGTTTCTTATTTGTTTCTTTGTAAATATTGTTTGGGTCACAAAATGGTGAATAAATCACTTGCTACACTGGACAGCATCAGTCTCCTGCACTTCTTTGACCGCTTAAGTCGAGTCCTACCACAGAAACATGTAAACAGTAGTTCACACCATGTTGTTAACAGAGGCGTATTTTGATTGTAGTTGTTGACACTGTTACACCTGCCACGACAAGCGACTTGGTTTAAAGATGTGAAGCTGTTTTTCCTCAAACATGGAAATAATTCTGTCATCATGCACTTCAGTTGGCTTCTTTAGTCTTTGAGGTCTTTCAGGTATTTTGGTGTTGTTGTCCAGATCTGGACACTTCTAAAATTTTGTTCTTGCTCTTTTTAAATTGCTTTATTTCCGTTTTCAGGAAAATGATGGCCTCCCTCTCTTGCACTAACACCTCATTATTACAGATACATTAAAATTATAGTGAAAAGCTATAAAAGACAAGTTCAACACTTCAGATATTGTCTGCTTCATTAGTCATAATGTCAGTCAGTTTTTCCATTAATTCTATACCTCTGAAAATGGGATTATTTGCTGGTTTCTTAAAACATTCATGGTAAATTTTTGTAAAACCCCTTGAATTAAAGATGAAAGTCTGTCTTTGATCGCATTTTAAATATTTGGTTTAGAATCCACTGTGCCAGTTTGTTACAAAATAAACAATGGAACAAATAAACCCCCTCAAAACAACAACAATAAAAACAAAACATCCCAAAAAAAAAAATCTATCTGCATCAGAAACAGTAGCAGTCACTCAGAGCTGTGAACAGGAGTCACACAGTATACTAGCATGCTTCTGCTGCCGGTCTGAGAAACCTCGACTCACTGCTGTTTGGTTCCCAAAGCAGTAATTCTCAAGTTCATCACTTTTAATTACTCAACCAGTTTTGTGTCTTCTTGCGGTAATTATGTAGATATGCTTAAGTTGCCTCTGACTCAATGTAAGTGGCCAAATAAAAAAATTACATTTAAAAACCACAATCTGTACTTAAATGATATTGGAGCGTTTCTTATGCAGCACTTTTCTACTCTGAGCACTCAAAGCACTTTATGCAACATGCATCATTCACCCATTCATACAAACACTTTTTTTCTACAGAAGTGCTTTTTACATAACATTTATATTCTGATAGATGCTTTGGAGACGAACTTGGGGTTAGCATCTTGCCCAATGAACACCAACACAGTTTTCTTATATATTGATTCTGTGTTTATTAAGAGACCTGGAATGTAAATGAGGACTTTGTGTGAGCTTCTGTTGTTTAAATGTGCTACAGGCTATGAAGAATAGATGTGACAATATTTTCATTTCAAAAACAAACAACAGCCAAAATAAGCTACAGTTTTCTACAGTGGGGTTAGGTCAGTTGGTGAATGTGAGTGTGTCTGTGTTAGCCCTGTGATAGACTGTGCTGGCTCCGCCTCTGCTGATTACCAGTTAGATGTTCGGTTTGTTCTTGATGACAGAAAACAAACACGACATAACAAACATTCATCTTTTCCAAACAGTTTTATTTATTTCAATAACAGATAAAACACTCACTCTGAAGGATGTTTCACACTGAAGTATTCACCTCACATCTATCCACTTCAGTTGTTTATACTCATCACAAGACACACACAAAAAATGGCATCTCATGAAAAGGCTAAAAGGTGTTTCACATCGATTTTTCATTGTAAAAAACAAAACAGCAATTGACATCGTAAAACTTGCAGAGCTGGAACTTGTTTCATTTGTCACATAAATGACTTTTTTTATCTTTCATTTTTAACTCAGGCCAATAAAACGATCCAGGTTCTCAGAACTGTTTAACTCATGTTAATGATTACACAAACTCTTCAAACCCCATTAGAGCATCTTAGGGCAGATGTTTGTTTATTTGCTTGTTTTTTGTTTCTTGCTTTGTTTTTTATGCATCATCTGATCAGATGCTAACAATACTAACTAAGAAATACTAATAATGAATAATAAGAATATTGATGTCAGTCCATCAAGTCCACTTGCTGCTGATAAACACTCAATGCTGGGAAATGCACACCTGTTTCAGCCAGATGGACGTCAATATCCAGATAACAACAGGAACAACTGGAAACATGAGAGTGGACAAAAATACTAAAGAACTGCGGTGAAACTAAAGTAATTGTTTCAGTTTGTTTTTAATGTTAACACAACATACTTGAATTAGTTCAATCCCAAATTTAAAAAAAATTAAAGTTCAATAAATCAATCAACTGAGAGCTCTTACAGATGCATTTACAAATAATAACAGCAATAATCTACATGTTACATTTAAGTGAATTATATATATTAAAAAAACGGTTTTGTTAAACATGCAGCTCTGCTTTCAAATTTCACAAATAAATTCAATAGAAGTAAAAAGTGCAGCAGATAGTCTTGTGAATATTAATAATTTAGCTATTAATTTATGCCCTCATTTTTTTAAATTTTGCTAATTGATTTCAAACATTTGGAATTGAGTTAAAAAATAAATAAAAAAATGTATTAGTTTCACAACAATAAGAAGAGGAAGATCAAGAGTGGGAACAAAAAATATATATGAGAATTTAGATTTTCTAAATAGTTTTATTTTATTTTAACACTATTTTTAAATTTTCCTTTACTCATTTACTAACATTTGTCAGGAATCACTGACTAATGTTTGATGTAATCCATGAAAAAGTAAATATCAGGCAACGACAGACGTTAAACAGCTAAAAACAGGAGCTACAGACCGACAGCAAAACAACTAGTAGGTCAGGGGGGAGATACTTTCATCCCCACACAAGACTGAGCACCAAGTACGGAGCGAGAGCGGCTGACCCAACAGATTGTGGCGAAGCTGGAAACCTGAAACCTGTAGTCGGTTACCAAGACAATGTGAGGGATGTGAATGCTACATTACGGACAACCAGAAGGAGAAGATCAAAGTAGGGAAGGAAGTTAGCCAACTATACAGCAAGCCAAGCTAAAACCTCTTGGTCAGTCAATGCTCATAATGGCTGGTCTAAGAGCAGACCATAGCAACCATCACGGGGGCAGACATCAAAGAAAGGGTCTCCAGTATAAAGCACCAGGCCTGATGCACGCCAACTTGCTGAAGAAGCAGACTGCACTCCATGAGCATCTATGACACCCATTATGGCTACCTGAAGGATCCCCAGAAAGAAGGACAGGCCCCGGCACAGGATGCACCACCAGATAAAGGAAGTGGCTGACATCCTGAAATTCTACACAGCATGGAGGCACTAATCGTGGCATGATCTCTCATAGAGGATATAAAGTCAGAGAGATGCATGTCTTGTAATGACAAGGAGCCGGCTCATCTGGTAGAGTGGCTGCAAAAAAAACATGGCATGCAAGCAGAGTGCAGCAGCCAGTGCAACACAAATTTTGGGTCCTTTGCTCCAACTAGTGGTCAGCGCAGAGCATTCAATTCCATCCACTCCTATGTGAAGGGCCTTAAGGATGCCCTTGAGACCACCCAGCACGTAACAGTGGGGTGCAAGATGCTAGCAGGCAGGGCATACAAGGAACGCCATGATCAAGTGGCAGGCATATTATACAGGAACATGTGTGCCAAGTATGGCATGAAAGTCCAGTGGTCAAAATGGGACACACCCACTAGGGTGGTCAGGAATGACCGAGCTAAGATCCTGTGGGATTTCCAAACAGAGGCAGACAAACAGGTGATGGCTAACAAATCAGACATAGTAGTGATGGACAAGCAGAGGAAGACAGTCGTAGTGATAGACAAAGCAATACTAAATGACAGCACCATCAGAAAGAGGTAACACAAAAAGCTGGAGAAGCACTGAAGGCTGAGAGAAGAATTCAAGAAGACCTCAAGATGGTTCACATGTAAAAGTCTTAGTCCCTCACAGTGGAAAATCAAACTTTGCAGCTTGCCAGCATCACCTGCTAAAACTCCCACTGTCCACTGATAAGATGTTGCCTATAACCGCCCTGGTTCCATCCAATCACACCATATCCCTGTTGTATAAAAGCTCCTCCAACAGGTTGCCCTGACATGATCTAGCCATGGCCTTCCTGTGGATCCTCTCCTGCCTCGCCTTCATTGGCACCGCCTACGGTGAGACAAACTCTCTAATGTTACAGCTCATTGGGTGAAGCATGTTGTTTAATTTTACAGTTAGTGCCAATGTGACAGTTACATCAATTTTATTTTTGTTAATGGCATAATTCTGATGTTCTGATGTCACCAGGGTGCG